AATCAAAAAGCTAGAAATTAATGAGCAGTTATTCAGTGCTACTGAACTCTAGATAAAGTGTCTCATGTAATGTTCATAATAACAAGCTTGCGCTAGGTGGGTAAGCCATTTTTACCAATGAAATCAATCTGAAGTTAAAATGATTTAGCTACAACACCTGTGAGTGGGCCACTTCAATTTTGAACCCTGGTAGCCTGACTACAAAGCCATTGCATTTCATCATCACAACAATGCACTTTCTACCATGCCAGGGACTATAAGAGTTTATGAGGTGCATAAAATGGAACACATGCCCTGAAAGAATTTACAATCTGAAAATGGAATTGTGATGCGCACTAAAATTCATAGGCTGTAGGGGGAAATGGTATGATTATTGTTCTTAGAATTGGGGAAAAGGAGATTTTAAGAAGGGAGCCTGTGGTTGTGTAGATTTCTTATTTCTATAACCACTGAGAAAATAAGAAACAAACAAACATCAGAAAGGAAAACATGGTACAACATAGTCAAAGCACAGAATGTATTGATGCATTTTCCAAATTTGATGCATATTATTGTTATCGTTATCTGCCAATGTCACTTGAGGTGGATATTTAAAACTACTTTAAATTTACTCAATTGCCAGTTCAACTGGTGAACCACGAATTCACATCATAACTTGAAGGATTCATCTCACCTCAAATCATTTTACCTCAAGCTCTAGGCTTGGTTCTTATTGAAATTATTTTCATAAACACACCTACACATACATAGTCTTACTGATTTGACTTTCAATTTGTATTCTCTTGGTGGGAACAATTTGTGTGGAAATAAACAGACATTGTTTAGTGAAAATTCTGAAATATGAAAACAGAGTACACTCTTTATATTTTTATTATCTAAACACAATGAAAAGGTAAACAGGATCATTTTTGAATCTACAATACATAAAAATCTCAATTAGTTATGGTCTATTTGTGCATTCACTAAAAACATTTGTTAACAAAACAGAATTTTCTAGTTTACTGGATAAATATACCAGAAGAAATTGCAGAATAATGTTGGGTTGCCAAGCAACCACAGTTCTACTCTCTCTTGTTTGTGATCAATCCGACTCATTCATCAAGCTTCCTAACATACTGCTGGAGAATTCCAACCAATTTGATTTTCCTAGGAAAATTATAGTGACTTTTGGTAACACAATAACACTTTCATTCTCAGAAGATAAACTTAGATGTTCTTTTGATCAAAGGCATGTGTTAATTCATTATTCTCTACATGGTGCTAATGAGAAAGCTATAATTAACTAACCACACAATTGCAATACACATACAATAAACGGTAGCAATTAGTAATGTTTAAAGTGTTAACCAGCCTCCAAAATTAGAAAATGCAGAATCTTTTAATAAATATATACAGAAAAGAGAAAGAACCATATCTAATTAAATTGAGAATTGTTTCCAGTCCCTCCCTAGGGGGAGGGAAGACACGTGATCTCCAAAATGTGAGAGATTTCACTTTAATAGCAGAGAAAATGGCTCAGTGCCAAGTCTACTTGTAGGTAGGCTCCCAGTGCTGGTGAATAAGGTAATCTTTTCTTTCAAAGAATGCTTAGCACAATATTTTCCAGGAATGAATAGAAAGAATATTATGCTTTCACTCATTAGCTGTGTTAACTTAGCATATTGTATGTAAATCACCATAATAATTGCATTCTCTTCAGACTGAATTACTTAGGATGAAGCTGTAATCAAAATGTTCATAATTGAAAATACAGTATTCTCAGAGTTGGTTTGAAAAAAAAATATCATGGAACACTGATTGAATCAGAAAATATAGTTCATCACTGCAAACAGCCTTTGTAGAAAGACAAGTTCATCCTCTTGATTACACCTTGACACGTTAATTAGTTCCCCAAATTCAGGGCTCAACACCCTCCAATCTGTCACGTTTTCTGCTGCTGCCCTTTGTCTGGTGTAATAAGCTTTTTCCAAGTGCATGACTGCTCAGATTTTTAAAGGAAAACAGAAAACGGTGAAAAGTGAAATTTGTGTTTCCAGAGCAGATGACATTCTATCATAGTGTTGGCTGCAATCAATCATGGGGCAAAATAATTTCCAATAAATAGAACATTTAGTGCCAGAGCTCCTGGGAAACAATATGTAAATGATCACATGAATTTCAGACAAGCTGTCACACTAATTCCTCAAGGTCCCTTTTAAAGATGACATACAAACTGTGGAGGTAAATGCTGCCATGCTTACTGAGAAGCACTACTCTGCTCTTTGAACTGGTGCTCACAGTATTTTTTTTTTCCAATAATCCCTTCCTATATGACATGACTTCCTCTCTGTTACTTAATTTTCCTTTATCAGTTAAAACTAATAGGACAGTTCTTACTTATTTCCTCAGAAAAGATGAACCAGGCTAGATTATTGCAACAAAGCAATTTTAGGTCTGACATATTTCCTATCTCCAAATATTTCAGGAATAAATATAAAAGCAGGTTTCTATGCAGGTAATGTTTTTCTCAGTGCGATATATCTCAATAAAAAATTCAAAAAGATGTTTGAGGTAGTAGTTTCTACCTTAATTGTCTAAAAATCTACCAATATATGCACATATTTTAGTAAGAAAATGCTTTTTAAAAGTTGATTTAAAAAAGTTGCCTAATTGGGAGGAGGCTATTAACATAAAGATACCAACACATTGTGTGTGATGTGAACTCCTGTTGTCCAATGCCCGATAAGTAAAATTTATACAACCATGAAGCACTTGCAAGTAAGGAAGAGTTCTGTAAGTGTAAATACAATGTGTTAATCTTCATAGTCCTATGCTTCTATGGAGAGGTAGGGACGAGCATTTCCTGAAAGAGATTCTAGTCAGCTGCTATAGCCAGTACCCATCTAGCAATGCCATCTATCTCTATGTATTGCATGGTAGTTTCTCAGGAACATTCCAGTAATGGTAGCAAGACTTACTTTGCCTCAGGAGAGGTGACTCCATTGGAGCACTGAAGACCATGAGAGGGAAGATTCAGTTAACCATTAGATGCTATAGCCAAATAAAATCGTAAAAGCCAGAGATAGGTGCATCACAAAGAGACTGAAACTGAGACAAATCCAACTACATAATGAGCAGTTGAGAGATGAGCTCAAATGCTAGATAGAAAATTGTGGAAGAAATTAGATTTTCTTATCGCCAGTTGTTTCCTGGGCCACTTTCTACCCTCTGTCCAGCACAGGACTCAGAGCCGATCTACTAACAATCGCTCAGTTTTTCTCTCTCAATCTGCTGCAAACAAGATTAAAAGTTGAACTTGATGTTAATAAATGTAATAAATGCTATTGCCTACAATTAGAAAACACAGAATTTTGCCCTGGATAACAGTGCCGAGAAACAACAATCTATCATATCTAATTTATTTGAGGATTAATTGTAATAGTAATACCATCAACATCAGCTAACTTCGGAATGATTGCTGTTCATTAGAGAAGGCAGTTAAACCTTGGATAATCTCAGTCCAATCTTCCAACTCAAAATGGGATGCATTGATACCTATTATTTCAAGAGGGAAACTGAGGCAGGGAGTAAATGACTCTGGTTCAAACATCCCAGAGAAGGTAGAGCTGTAATCCCAAACCAGGTGGGCACTCCAGGAGACTACCTTGAAGTACCTTCAAGAGTTACCTAGCTCAGCACCCAGGAGCACGCGCACGCGCTATCCCCCTTCCCCCAGCCTTCCAACAGGAGCGCGCTATTGTGCACACGCCTTCAGCTAGCTGCCACCAGCAGGCTCTTCGCAGTTCTGGCCAGCGGGGCGGTATTGATCGCCTTTCTCCCAAGGCTGAGTAAGGGGCTCCCTCCCCGCCCAGCCGCGCAGTGCCGCCCACACCTGCTTGTGCTTGGTGGCTAATCTGCACTCCTGCCCCCCCTCTCCGCCCGACCTCAGACCACCTACCCAGCTCCCTCTCGGTGCTCTGGGCTCCAGTACCTGGACGCTGAAGCCGCTGCTCCTCCCGCCCCAGATTTTTCGCAGGAATTCCTCAGCCCTGCCCCTAGCTGAGAAAGTGAGGTTCTTAGCAGCCAAAAGGGAGTGGGGAATGGAGAGAGCGACGTTTCCCCAGCCTCTCGGCTCCAATCCCAGCTTTCCAAATCACTTGCTCCCTGCTCCCTCCCTATGCACACTTGCACTCAAGGGAGGGAAAAAGAGAGAGAGAGAGAGAAAGACAGAGACAGAGAAAGAGGACAAGGAGAGACACAAAGAGGAAAAGGGGACTGTCCAGGACTGGCATCCCCAGCTACCCCCGCTCCGCTACCAGGGAGCCATGGCAACCAGTGCCCCCCACCGGGGCCTGCCCTCTCGCCCCCACAGCGTTGTTGAGGTGAACTGCTGTGCCTCTCTCTATTTTTCCCTTAACCCGCAGTTCTCAGATCGCTCATTCCAGGCTAGAGGCATTTGGGGATCGCTACTGCAATCAAGAATTATCTGTAGAGACTAGCAGCTAGATAGGGGCTTTGGGGTCGGGGTGAGAGAATCTGGACCCCTAAGACCTAAAAGTGGGCAGTGGAGAGACCTGTAGGGCTCGCCCCCGCGCCCCCCCTCCCCCGATGGCTACAATCTACCCAGTGCATGCATCCTCTCCCGAGGGTAAGGAGGGGGGCGGTGGCTATGTAGGAAGAAACAGGTCAGCCTACCGAAGGTTGAGAGCTTAAGGGTGCAGGGGTCCTGGAAGCCTGGTGACTACATCCACTGACCTGGAGCTGTCAAAAATCCAGCCCTAGCCACCTGCGGCGGTGCTAGGAAAGGCGGCGCCTCCCCTCAGGTTAGGGAAGGGACCTCGAGCCACTCCCATTTTGGGCAAGGATGGAGCCCCGGATTGTGCACCATTTCCCTTTCATAAGTGTTGCTCTTTCCCTAGGAGCAAGCCCTTGATGATTTCCCTCCACCTCGCTCAATGAGTTGGATAAAGGACAGGTTGAGAGAGCCCCATTCCTAGCAAGGCACGCAGAGACACACTCACCTGAGCCCACTCTGACGTCCGATCTGTCGGGTGCCTTCCCTTGGGGAAACTTCTCCTTAAGCTGGCTCACAGGGGCGAGAGGGACTAGCAAGGTCCAGACCCTCTGGGCGGATCCAGGGGAGTTTCTAGTTGGGCGCTCTCCGCGGATCCACACCCTGGTCTGCCCACAGAGATTCCGTCTGTCCCCTCCTGCTGTTGGCACAGGTCTCCAGAAGGCTGGACCTGTTCGAGCTTGCACCGGTATCCACGCCCTCCTGCCAGAGACTGGCTTGCGCCTCTCCTCGGCTGTCCCCCGGATCTTCTCGGCCACCCCTCACCCACAAGGCTTCTTTTCCCTCCCTTTTACACAGTCTCCCTTGGGACAAGAGAGAGAGAGCTACAGGCTTTAGATTTTGGTTTTATGAAAAGCGGGGAACAAAGACAAAACTTTGCTTGTCGTTTGCAACATCTCTAAGCCAAAAGAGGCAGGATTGCTGCGGGGTTCGCTTGCCAGCTAGAAACCAAAAAGAAACCCCTCCCCTCAACTCCCTCTCCCACTCTTCCGCGTTCAGATTCCACACACAGGCTTCCAGTCTCTTTTTCCCTTTGCTGCACGGTGGAATGGTGTGGTGCCTTGTACCTACCTCTTTTAAAAATGCCTTGCTGGTTTCACTTCGTCATTTGGGGAAGAGGGGTGGGTGATGGGACTCTCAATTTAATTTACAAAAGAGCCATCTCCAGTAGCTGTCAAATCAATCAGAGCAGGCATAAATTTAAAGCTCTTCTACCGATATCTAATGTACAGTTTGTGCCTCGCTACCATCTGTACTTCACCAAATTGGTCAGTGGCATTATCTTATTTACTCTCTACTAATTCACTGCTAGGGAATAAAGCTTTCTTTGCTCACTTCCTGTGCAGAAGCCCATTCTTGATGCTTTATCTTTTTTTTTTAAACCAACAAACAGGATGTTTGTTTTAGGGATTCACTATAGGGAAGTTACAGAATTTGGCGCCTAACTAATGTACACACTCCTTCACTTTTCATGCACACGTTGGTGATATTTCCCAATATGTTCACACAATATTGCTTAAAAAAGTCCTGTTGCATGTAAGTGCTCTTTGATGGTAATGGAATTACTGACTTCTAACTTTTACTCTGCTGAGGCTGTGAGATTGATCTTACAGTCTTGTTTTGTTCTCCTCTAGTGCACTAAACAATGAGGACATTTATTGCTGTGTGCTACCCTCAGAGTTGGATGCCACTGTAGGGATCAACAAGAAGTAAGGGGACTCAAGATGCTGCTTCAGAAGCACTTGCAACAAATATCTTGAAATGAATAAATGGGCTTTTCCATGTTCATAATTGATAACCTTGAGGCCTCAAATGCTGCCAGTTCGTGTGTGGGCACAATTCCTACTGCCTGTGCTGGCATATTACAAATGCAAGTGAGGGCAGGATGTGTCCTAGGTTTAAATTGTGCTACTGGAGTGATTCCTCTGCCCGAGGCATCATTATTCATGCGGCATGTTTTCTAAAGTAGAAACAAAGAAAATTGAAATAAATTCCAACAAGGAAAATACTGAGCCTGTAGGAAACCATTTCCAAGATTTAGGAGCCCCAAGAGAGACACAAAGCCAAGTTGGTCTCAAATTTACCACCTTCTGGGGTGGCATTTCCTGGGCAAAAAGCTGAGAACTCTATTTTGGCAAGAGTAACAGAGAACTTTTAAAGACTCAGCTTTCCCTTCACTGGTATTTGTTTGCTGGACACAGTAAGATCATTAAATGGACAGGCAGATTATAGTTAATTTGATGGTAGAGAGATAAAAAGATGGATAGATAGATAGATAGATAGATAGATAGATAGAAAATAGGTACCCATATTTGAATAAAGGGGAGGGAAAGGAGAGAGAGACAGACAATTCCCAATTTGCTCTATGTTAGTAACACTTTAGAAACTCAATAAGAAGACCACATCTTTCTTTTTAGGTGAAATGCCCTAACCTGTCTTTCATAAGGATTCTCATTACACACACACACACACACACACACACACACACACACACACACACACACACACACACTTCTGAGCCTTGGATACCGCATAAAACTGCATATAGATTAGAAACATTAATTGCCTGTGGCCAACTAGAAACAGTAATTAATTCAGCATACAGCAACTCACTTTACTCTAGGCAACCAAACTTTCAGAAAGAAAAAGGGAAGGAAAGTGTTTAGAGGAAGGGAGAGAGGGAAGGAAGGAGGAAAGGGAGGAAATATGGAGGGAGGGAATGAGGACAAATGATGAACTAAGAAAGAACAAGACTTTTCCAGAGGTGTGCTCAGTAGAAGCAGATGCCTTTAACTATCTGTACCCAAGAAGTATTCATAGCCATGATCTGTAGCAGGATTTCATTTGGGGGGCGGGGGTTGTACTAACCAGCTCCCAAATCATGACACAGAGAGTTATTATTAGTTTTTGAATGCTCGGCCTTAACTTTGACTTGTTTCTTGCTAGCTCTTATAATTTAACCTGTTTCTCTACATCTTTGTTTTGCCTTAGGGCTTTTTACCTTTCTTTCCTTCTGTATATCTTACTTTCCTGCTCCCTTCCTGTCTGGCTGAAGGCTACCTGGCTTCTGTATGTGTTCCTCTCTTTCTTCCTTGTTCTCTTCTTCTTTCTTTTCCTCTCTGGAGCCTAGATTTCTCCTACTACTTATTCTTTCTGCCTGCCAGCCAACTTATCCCTCTCCTGCCTAGTTACTGGCCCTTCAACTTTTTAGCAAGGTAAAACAAATACAGCACATCTTTACACAATTAAACAAATGTAGCACAAACAAGTGTAACACATCCTTATATCATTAAACAAATGCATCACAAAGGTAACCCCTTTACATCATTAACAAAGATAGAAGAAACAAATTAACACACCTTCACAAAGTTAAAGCAATATTCTGCAGGGTAAACAAATGAAACACATCATTGACTAGTTAAAATAATATTCCACAACAATGATCTCTATGCCTGAGCCCATATTTTTATACAGTAGCAAATGCAGGCAACACAGTCATGCTTGCTGGCCAAAGCAACAGCTTCCAGCAAGTCTGGAACCAGAAGACAGCCCTCGTCCAGAGTGAAAGGCTGTGAAAGATACCTTCTGCTGCTGTTTTGAGCCTCTCTCCTGGCTCTCTCTCTCTCTCCTGTCTGACACTTCCCACTCAGCACACACCCCTGATCTATGAAAGATACTGGGGAAGCATTACCTTCTCACCAGTCACACAGAAATCTGATCACATTAGCCTCAAAAGGTGTGAATTTTCTTCCTTGTGATTGAGGAAGATCCTGCCAATTGAAAACACTACTACTGGACCACAAAGGAGGGGGGGATGGGTTTTCTCATAAACAGAAGCAGAAGGTGAGAGAGATAGGCCAGTGGACTGGAAAAACATAAAAGGTATCAAAAGCTGGGGCATTTTTCTGCTTTTCCTGCTGATTTACTGCCTATCCTCTGCCTGAACCATCATTTGGTATCATTCCCAGGGCTGGGCTATTGCAAGAGTATTGCCTTTTGGCAAAGCCAAGTAGCTAGTGATAATGGCATCATTCCTAGAAAAATTGTTTAGAGGAAGAGTTGTAGTGTTGGAAATGGCATTGCAGTCTAGCAGTTCCCAACAGTCACAGATCGACTGGGATTTTCTGGCCAACAGCTGTAAAAAAAGGAAGACAGGATATTCCTCCGAGGAAAAGATCCTTCAAAGGCAACCTTGGAAACACAAAGCAGCCTCCTTCAGCTTAGAAACTAACAAAGCTAAAGACCAGAACCGTGACTCGGCAGAACCACAAAGAGCCCATATTCCTTTAACTTGTCCTTTCATTCAAGAACAAAAGGACATGTATCATGAATCAAAGGACAATAATTCTGAGACAAATAAGGTAAACCTCCCCTGTTTCATGCCATGGATCATTAATACAAGTGATTTGGCCCTAGTAGCTCATAGAATCAGATATATTTAATGGATTTTTAAAGGGACATGCAATTATATGGCCATTACTAATCTTATCCTCTGGAACTAAGTCAGCAGTAGGAGCTATCCAATCTCACACTTCAGGTATCCATTGACTACTTCTGCAAATCAGTGAGATGTCCAAACCTCCAATCAGAAATGTCTGACATGGATAGGCTACTGTCCTGTTGGTGGCTTGCTGCAAAGTCCTGTGTCATCAGAATTGATCTCAAAGACCTACAAACTGTATTACAGGGTAAATTCTTAGTTGTTGGGAAAAAGTTTTGACATTTTTAAAGGATGGAAAATGTACCTACATTCCTATGTTTCCAATGTAACACAAAAGTGTTTTAAGCTGGTAAAATAATCACCTATAGCTTCCTTCTATATTTGTGGACAGTATGGTTCAGAAATTATTTACAAAGCTGTACTAGTGGTTAGTGGCCTAGGATATATTGATAAATATCTCCCAGTTTCTGCTATTATACCATTTTAGAATATAGCAAAGCATGTTAAGGTAATATTATATATCTCAGTTCTGCTGTAGCAAAAATGACAAAGAGAAAGGGGAGCGGGGAAGACACTGTGATAACAGAAATGTAAGGGATGGTACTAGTAGAGACAAAATAAAGAGTTTTACTTCATCATTGTCTTTTATTTTGTATTACTGATTTTGAAAATGGGTTGGAGAAAAAGTAAATACCAAGTAGATTTAATTAACATAAAATTTGTAGAAGGCATTGGCTCTTCCCAGATTTGTTGTTAGTTTATTCTTGGTTACATGGCCACCCACAAGTTTGGCTTTATGTCTAAATTCTTGCTAAAGAGACATAAAGAAAAATAGACAAATTTTCATATTATCCACTTAAAAACAATGCAGAGTTACTTTTTTGGTTCTAGTTAGTGGTGGAAGCCTTATGCTGAGGATGGTAAAAAGAGGCCACATTAACCTAAATCCTCAAACTGCAATGGATCAGAGTCTACTTACGAATAAGAAATTTTGAACAGATCTTTTCTTTAAGCCAGTCTTCCAGAGTCCCTTTTATGCAACAGTATAAGCTTTAAGTAAGGCAACTGTAACTTTTATTATGAGAAAAATTTCAGAAGTAAATCAAGAATGGGCTAGAGTGAGTATTTGTTGGTTTCACCTGCCCCTTTCAGCTACATTCATTCAGTTTAATCAACCCTAAGAAAACATATTTCCCATGTTTACATGGAGCTGAGCTAAGGCTGTCTCCAGTGTTCCCTTTCAACTTATGATCTAAGCTTACAAAATAGGCTTCATTCATTAGTATCACTATCCGGTTGTGTATGTGGGCCATAGCAAAAGGCAACAGAACCAACAGAAGCCAAAGAAAGG